CAAAATATGAAGACTAAAAAAAAAAAACTCTTTTAAAAGTACCATATAAAACTTGTATCAAAGTAATTTTAATTAGTAAGAATTTCGAAATTTTACTATTAAATTATTTGTCCAATCAAACCTTTTAAATATCATTTTTGTCACATTAAACATTATAAAAAATATGGATACAAACAAAAACTTAAAACCGATAACTTTTACCTTTTCTCTAATACTAGACCAGAAGTGAGCAAAAAATATTCTTCTTGCTTAGACATATTGGACCATTAGAAGAAGAAGAAGGAAGTTTCTTGAAATTAAGTAATATATATATATATATATATATTTTTTTTTTACAAATATTTTCCTAAGATTACAATATTCTTGTACATGTAATTAGCAGCCCTTCATGGTTTTGTTCTATTATGAGTTGTTATTTTATATATACGGATAAGAAAGAAATACACTTATGGTTTTCTTGGTAATTAGGTGTGTACAACCCTTTTTCTTTTTCTTTTTCTTTTTCTTTTTTCAGATAGACTTAATATTATTGCTAACGTGTACTTTATATTGGTTGAGTTGGATGTACTGTGTATTCAGAGTGGACATCAATTTTTAAAAAATTGGTCATTATTTAAAATAAGAAGATGAGATCCAGAAAAGTCGGAGATGTATTTGCTAATCTAATTTATTTTGATAAGGTTGTAATGTTTTTGTGTCTTTCTCATTCTGAGCACAAAATAAAACCAAGGTAATAATTAATCTCAAGCATATATATTATTGATGAGATAAAATTCAAATAAAAATCTACTAAGACAGGCATTAGAGGGTAAAAAAGGATCCATATATATTCTCAAATCGTAGGAGCGAGCAATATATTAATAGACATATATAGTCAATCATATTGATGATAAAAAAGCTGACAATTGAGTGGGGACGTTGTAGTAATACAGAGGAGTTCATGAATTCATTTCGTTTTGTTTTTTGTTTCGTTCCTTTCCTTGCAATAAAGGAACTAAAGTCGATTGAATGAGAAAGTACAAAAGCTAAGGCCAAAATTGCATATAGAGGACCCAATTGATTTTCATATACGTGACAAAATATGAGAGAGAGAGAGAGAGAGAGAGAGAGAGAGAGAGAGAGAGAGAGAGAGAGAGAGAGAGAGAGAGAGAGAGAGGGAGAGGAACCATCAACCATGCAATGAGTGACGAAAGAAAGGCCCTTCTGTAGCGTGCATGGGAGGAGTTTCTCTGACCAACCAATGATATGCCACCTGTTCCTTGACGTTGACTTCCACTTAAATTGGTCCTTATAATAAAATTCCACCTCGTCGCACCCACAAATAATTATCAGACACGTACATAACTATTTAGTACCTCTTTTTTTTTTTTTCCTTCTCTTGTCCCTTTGGATTTAGGTTAATTAATGAAGGGACAGCTGGCTTAACTATGTTAGTTAATTAGGAAACAAGGATTTAATGAACCAAATTGATGTAGCAGAAGTTTAATAAGAAAAATTAAAACATTAATAAAAGATAAAAGGATAGACCACAAATATCAGGAAAATTGCTTCAAGATCCATTGATTGACACAAAATATCAGAAGTTGACAATAAATAAAATTCGTTGATTCAAAACGAAAAACTGAGAGAAAACTAAAAATTTTTATTAATCAGAACTGATTTTCAGAGGGCATCTAAATATATAGACAATATAAAAACAAGAAACTAATCTATTATTCTATATTTAAAAAAAATAATAATAAATATGAAATTTTCTAAAAAAAAAGGTAAATTTTGAACTGGAAACAAAAATTGAAACTACCAGACATAAGGAATAAGAAAACGTAATCGGACCTAGAATATAAAATTTCTAGATCAAATCATAATTACATTATAATTGAAAAAAGCCTTTTTGAAGGTCTAAAAGATGGAGTTTGCCTAGAAATTGTCGCACATCACGGCTAAGCTATGAGTCTTGTTTGTTGGCACATTTTCACCCCAAAAAGCACATATTTTTAGTCCAAATATGACACCGATAAAAGACCTTATGAAAACTAAAATTTTATTTATTTGACTTTAGGGTGATCCCTACACACCATAAAAGCTAAGTCCGAATCACAAACAATCCTCAATTAGTAGGAATTGTGAATTGATATTGGAGACATTTAAAAACCCATATATAACCCCAATGATTTAATATTGAAGTATGACGTTAATTCCAAACAATCCTCAAAATACAGAGATACAACTTTTTGAATAACAAGTTTGCTCCGGAAATCGACCAAAATTTTAACTCATAACGGCTCTTTTTATGCGATGTGCTTTCAGTCCAACTGATCTACTCCATGTTATATGTTGCTCGCATTTGGACCAGCTTACATTATTTCGAGCAATTTGTTTCACTACAATGTCATTTACGACGACATTTTTTGCGACGACAAATGTCGTCGCAAATAATACAATATTTTCGACGATATGTCGTCGTAATTACTCCTCGTTAAATAAAATAATCATGTCGTCGCTAATAACTTAAATGTCGTAGCAAATAATTTTGAAGCGCAAATTTCAATGGCGCGGATTTTTTCCGCCATGGTAATTCATTTTTGCGACGACAAGTCGTTGCAAATAATAAGATATTTGCAACGACAAATGTCATCGCAAATAATTTCGTGTTATTTGCGACGAAATTTTCTCTTTGTCGTCGCAAATAATCTTTTTAAGATTTCACTAAAAACTAAACGTGGGAAAAATAATTATTTGCGACGACATTATGTCGTCGCAACTAATTGCCAACTGTGATGTATTTGCGACGACATTTTAAATTTATTTGCGACGACATTGTCGTCACAAATAAGTCTGATATAATATACCATATCTAATAAGTCTGATCTAATATAAAATCGACCAAAATTTTAACTCATAACTTCTCTTTTTATGCGATGTGCTTTTAGTCCAACTGATGTGCTCCATGTTATATGTTGGTCGCATTTGGTCCAGCTTAATTTATTTCGAGCAATTTGTTTTCATTTCCTCCTCGGACTTACTCAGGATCATAGTGCAAAATGGCTATAGGTTTAATGCTATAGCTTAGCCTAAGATGATCAAGTTTTCTCTCACTGTAAAAGCTTTAAGCATGAATCACAATAACTGATCCTACTTAATTGAGCAAACCTTAAACAAGTGAAAGTGTTTAAATGCATTCCACTTTAATTTAGGGTTAGACTTCTACCAGATCATAACATGAATTTCAAAATTCAGTTTTAGATTCTTTGATTTTAATAGAAATATATAGCACAATATTTATTTTACACCAACATAAATATTTCCACAACCATATGTTGTAGACTGTAGGCACACAAGCCGTCCACTCACTGCGCGCACGCCCACTGTGTAGGAGAGACAATTTTAATAATTATAATTACTTCTAAGAGTTATGCCGGAGAATATTTCGAACTAGCATGAGAACCAAATGGACTCATATAATTTAAGCTCCGGATATTTAATTAAGTAACTTACAATAAAATTAATTAAAAATATTAACTTTAATTTATTCCTTTAAAAAATCAAAGTTGCACTCACAAATTAAATGAGCATTATTTAGAAGTTTTAAACAATCGACTCATACAACAATTCCTTTTAAGTTGACCCTTCACAATAATACTCCTAGTTAGAATGTGGTTATTTTTTTTTTTTTTTCAAATAATATCTCTAATTACATCTTTGTCTTACGTCTTAATTTGAACCCAGAAAGTTTATTGGCAACAGGTCGGCACAAAGTGATTCATCATGCTCAAACACGTGCTGATCATTCGTTAGCTATGCTTTATAAATCATGAAATTCCCACAAATGGAATGAGAAGTGGGTCCTCGTAAATGATCAAGACCTAGCAAATAACAAAAGCCCCCGTCCTCATATGGAGTTTGGAACCAAAAGCAATCTTCCTATAAATTAAAACATAAGGGATAAACATGGTATTTTGAAAAAACACAAGAAACATTTTAGGCATGTTAATAATAAGAGAGATGTAAAAGTGATATTTTGACTACACAAGATAGTGTTTAGTTTCTTTTTTTCATTTATTTTTTTATGAAGTTGTATATAATTGTGAGTGTGTGGGTACACTTTGTTAAGTGAAAATAGATAATTATTTATTAATTCCCTTAATGCAAAGTGTGCTTTATATCGTATTGTTGAGTACTATAATAGTAAAATGCATAGAGATTCTAATTATTCAATTTGATGTTTATTTGGGATATATGAGTGACAGCCGCATCATTTATTGAATTTGATGGAAATTTGGGATATATGGTCATATATATGCCCTTCTATAAAATAATGCCTATCAAACAATTAACCTGCTCATGTGACATTTTCCAACTTCTGGCGTAACACTATCAACACAAACTTGTAAATTGACATTGCATGAATATAATAATAATATCTGGCCATCGTATGGATGATGAGTAATCAAGAGTCTTGTCTTAGTCGTATGTGTTTTGTGGGGCATATTTGACTATTGAGCACAAAATCGATTGTCGTCTACCTACGATTAATACAATCAGCACATATTTTCCTTCTGATTGGAAACATGATAAAGACTTTCATAGGGAAAAAATTTATAATATGGGACACCAAACAAAAAAAAAAAAAAAGAGAGAGAGAAAGAAAAACTTTATCATGTAATATGCTCAAACATTATGATTTTAACAAAACCTATATTAGGGGCAGGTGTTAGATATAAAGTTTAATTTTAAAATTTTATATATATCATACGGAGCTAGGTATGTATATTATTTTTGTCACATATACTTACTAATATATAAAATAGAAAAGTAGTGTGTAGTTGTTATGCAATCAAATTGGAAACTAGCACGTCAGTCAGCTTCAATGTGATTGGGGGGGACAAGACCGTGATGGCTATATAAATACAAAGGTGTAGTTGATGATTGGATTGGAGGGAGGCAAAGGCAGCCAAAAATCTTCTCATCTTAGAAATTAAAACATTAGAGAATAGATCATCATGGGAAGATCTCCTTGTTGTGACGAGAGTGGCCTCAAGAAAGGCCCTTGGACCCCAGAAGAAGATCAGAAACTTGTCAAGTATATACAAAAACACGGCCATGGAAGCTGGAGAGCCCTCCCTAGACTTGCTGGTAAATAAACATTTATTACCCCACATAAAGTACTACACAAATTCTTTCTCTCTCTCTCTCTCTCTCACTCTCACAGACGGTTTAATATTCCTTTTTGTGCAGGGCTCAATAGATGTGGCAAAAGTTGCAGACTAAGGTGGACAAACTACTTGCGGCCGGATATCAAAAGAGGGAAATTCTCCCAAGAAGAAGAGGAAACGATTCTGAACCTCCATTCCATCCTTGGAAACAAGTAATTATTCAACATCCTTATAATAAGTTGCTCTTTTAACTTATGCATTAACACCAAAACTAATATTGTTTTCTAGGACTTGTTGCAAATTGATTTGGCCATTTGCTAGGGTATCATGTTGTACATGCTTATCATCTCTCTGTCTCTCTCTCTCCTTTTTTTTTTTCAATGATGATCGTCAAAGTGGCCAAATATGCTTTAGATTTAACGATACTTATTTAGTTATAGGAAGCAAATAAGGAGTACTATTGTGCTTATTTTATTCAATCAACCTTTGAAAGAATTTAAACCATTTAATATATTGAATAGGATTCAAAATTTTCTCCACAAATTAATCTAATTTCTTTTCCACTTTTTTTGTTTTGGTTATTAATCAGATGGTCAGCAATTGCGGGCCACCTACCCGGCCGGACGGACAACGAGATAAAGAATTTCTGGAACACCCATCTGAAGAAAAAGCTAATCCAAATGGGGATTGATCCAATGACTCACCGTCCGAGAACGGACATCTTCTCAAGCTTGCCTCATCTCATAGCCTTGGCCAATCTCAAAGAGCTCATGACCATGGACCATCCTTGGGAAGAGCTACAAGCCATGAGATCTCTCCAAGCTGACCAAGCTCTTCAAATGGCTAAACTCCAATACTTGCAATATCTCCTCCAACCTCCAAACCCCCAAAACAACAACAACCAAATGATCAACATGCCGGACCAGTCCCTCAACAGTCTCCAATCTGTCCAATATGATTCCGTTCCTTTCGATAATTTGCCGGACTTGTTGCAAATCTCGGACCAGACAACACCACTACAGCTCATGAACAAACAACAAGTGGTTGATCATATTATTCAGGCACAAGATAATTTCACAGTAGGGTTCAGCCAAGCTGGGGATATTGATAATGATGACCACATCATGATGAATATCTTTCCAAGTTCCTCATCATGGGTTAACCCTAATTCTTCAGCGAGTTCGACTCCTTCACCTCCTACGGCGGCGGCGGCGGCAGTGGAGGCCACGTCCTTGAGCAATCTGCAGGGCGGTGATGCTTGCAGTGCGAATTCGAGCTACGGAGAAGTGGCTGCCCCTTCTGTTTGGCCTGACCTTCTCCTTGATGACACTTTGTTTCAGGAGGTTGCTTAATTTTATATCCTTTATTTTCTTTGTTAATTATTCACCACATATAATATAGTACGTACTACATATTTAGATATTATATTCTCTATTATTATGTCATATCTATACTGTTCATATAATATGTACAATTTTACCGGTGAGAGGCCTTGGATGATTAGTTCTTAGAATGTTGCTGATGATATGATGCAAGATCTTCGGGATGTGCTTGCTAGGCTCCTAATTTGCTAAGGATAAAGGAATAGGAGGAAAAAAGAAAAAAAGAAGAAGAAAAAAAAGAAATTATTATATTACGTCAAGGACATACTGTAGTACTTATTATATGTGTTATAATTTTGATTAATATACATAGATCTCTATGCTTCCAAAACAGTGTTCTTCTGGTTATTATTATTATATTTATTGTCTCTCTCGTTCTCTCCTTCAAATTGACTCCATTTTCTTGATCTATTTATTTTTGGTTCTTTATTGTTTAAACATTAGGCAAATGAGACTAATACTCCTTAGAATGAATGAGGCTGGATTTTTACCTTGACTCTTAATTAATATATGAATTTTTACTTATTACTCTTGACTAATATACTCTTTAGTAAAATAATTATATTAATCAAAAGGATATTAATAAAGAGTAAGGGGTAAAAATCTAGACTTATACACTCTAAACGTAAGATCAATAATTTCCTCTTAAATATTTCTTGATGTTAATGGCGACATTAGACAACAGAGTGCTAGTATTCCTATATATAGAGCATAAAACAGGAGTGGGTGCTAAAGATGGGCTAGCCTAGATGACTGAAATTGCAATGAAGTCGTATATTTGGATAGTGGCAGCCATAACTTCGTATGAATTCTAATAGAACCATTAAAGTCATAGCTTTTGGAATAGAAAGACATGCGATGATAAATTTTAAAAGTTAAAATTTCTAGACGAATATGTGACTGATTTTAATCTAATGGCATGCAACCACCATTATTTGGCTCACGTAGTTCCGAAGTGTAAAAGAATGACGCATATGAAAACAAGATAACCAAGTTTTCGAAAACTTTTATTAATCAAACTCTTAAAACAATTTTAACATAAAATGTCTATTTGTAAGAGACAAACTCTAACTCAAATTTAAGTCGAAAGTAAACTCAATTTCTAAAATGAAAACAAATCTAATTCCTAATAATTTGAAATCAAATCTCATCATAAAGTCCTAAAAGATTAATGATTAAATTATACTCCTAATTGTAAATTTTCTTAAGAAATTATAAAATAATCTCCAAATATTTTCAACTTTTGCCTTGAGTCACTAGTAATATTTCCTGAAGACAACTAACATCCTAAGTTAATGTAACAAATTTCTTTGCCGCGTTATGCATCTACGAATATATATTTTCACTTTCAAATAACTAACGTCTTAAGTTTATTCCAATATTGGATTATATTAACTTGATTCTTTACATGATAGATTTACATTCTCAATAATCTTCTCTTTGAAATTCAATTATATATGCTTTTCTAAATAAACTTATGTGTTTTCGCTTACACAAGTAAACTCATTCAACTGTGGTTAACATATCAAATTTGTGCTCATAATATAATTTTGATTAGTTTGTCTTCTTCAAAGGAAAAAGAAGATTAATGAGAAACGAATTTATTTATTTAGTGTGTTTAATTTCCGGTGTTCATAATCGAGTCTCCACGTTCACACATAAAACTGATAATTCTTCTTTTATAGTTTCCTTCTGCTCCACTTTGGTTTTAACATTAGATTAGTACAAAAGTAGAATATGTACTTTTCTATTTATTTAAAACTATCATTCTGGGGTTCATTGACCAAACAATTTCGACCCTGCACCGGCTACTAACCACTCTTGTGGATACAATGGATTCGGAGCTCGATTTCTTCTTTGGAAGACAAAACAACATTTAACCTTGAGAATTAACTCTTTGTCTTTCCATCACGAAGACACAGAGAGAGTTGACCATGTCATAAATGTCAACAAGTGACGCAAAAAGGATTCTCTATGATAAGAGAGGGACCCCAAAGTAGTTATGACTTGGGAAGCACCAAATAGGATTTTAGAATTTGGAAATTTTCTGACTTTATAGTCAAGAGATTCGACAGCTAATTGCCACCAAATGTGTTTCTCTCTAGACTATAGAGTTCTACCGTGTTGTAACTTTAGACTGTAAAAACTATATATAAATATATATATATATATACACACACACACACATATATAAGGGCATGTGATTTTAATGGCTAAATATCAGATAATTGACCAAAATAATTTATACAAATTAATGAGATTGACCAAAATAATTTATAGTCAAGAGATTCGACAGCTAATTGCCACCAAATGAGTTTCTCTCTAGACTATAGAGTTCTACCTTGTTGTAACTTTAGACTGTAAAAACTATATATATATATATATATATACACACACATATATAAGGGCATGTGATTTTAATGGCTAAATATCAGATAATTGACCAAAATAATTTATACAAATTAATGAGATTAGATTGTTATAAGCCACACTATCAAATTTCTATACATAATTGATTGTAACTACCAATAGGAACGTAAATATTAAATACTTGTAATTATATATATATATATATATATATATATTGGTAAAGTTCAGCGGCCATACAATCCGACAAATTAATATAACTTTTTGTATATATGTGTAACGTTGTTTGTGTGTAACTTTTTTTATATGTCCATGCAACACTCAATCTTACATGCATGTGTTGGACTATAATTATTAAATGTCACATTAAAATAAATTGAGTGTTGCACATAAATATAAACGATATTACACGAACAAACAAAAAAGTTATACATACCGAATTGGTCCGGGTGTTGAACTTAAAGACAATTCCACATGTGTGTGGCTATATATATATATATATATATTATCAGCTGAAATATATCATGATCATTTTGAGATAAATATATGACGTAGAATATGTACCTTAGTGTCTTGCCTCTTTTGAAGCAAGTCTTAAAAGCTCCCTAATCATATTATTGATCATGTCAATATGTGTGAGAATAGCTTAATTTTCTTCATTTAGACAGCAGGCAGAGACTTTTTTTTTGGAAGCTTTAGCCGCCTTGAAGAAGATTAGCCCAAAAGTATCAACTATACGCTAATCAGAGTCGACTAGCTAGTAATTAAATGCTATAGGTCGTGGTTATTATAATTATTAGCGTCCAAATCGATGGAAAAGAATTTGTATAAAAATAAAAAAAGAAGAAGAAGAAGATAGCACATACATCCGTACATTTAGATATGGAAATTTTAATATTGGTTGTCTGTCTGCATGGATATATAATAGTATACCATAGGACAATGTCCTCTACAAATAATTACACAAAATATCTACTTTAATATATTGAGTTTTAAAATGTCTATTTCTATGCGGTATTACAAATAGATACTTTTTAAAACAGAAGACTTGGGATACCCATTATATCTTTTTTTTTTTTTTTTTTTTTTTTTTTTTTTTTTTGGGAAACTGGGAACAGTTTTTTGTGTGACTATTTTTATAAACGTTTTTAGCAAATTATGTTTTAGTTGACCACGTTCCTATTTTTTGATATTAATGGTAAAATTAGGTCATTTATTGTGGGATGGGCACCAAATCTTTTAGGCTTTCCGACACTATTCCATTTTTCGAATTAATTTTGTTTTGTTTGCTTTCAACTTTGCTTCTTGGTTTTTCATTGTTGACATTTGTTTTCTGGCATATGTATAGTCCTCTCTCTCTCTCTCTTCACGTTATATTTGCTCATTATTCATTATAGGTTTTTCATGTTTTATTTGTTCTCTGAATATTTTGTTTTTTCTTTGGCTTTTTTAACATCTTCTCTTTATGATGATGCCTTCATCTATTTTTTTTTTCTCGTTATTTTTTGTTGAACAAGTCTAAGGTTTATAGATCTATTGGCTCTTTTTCTAATACGACTATTATCATAAAGCCGTAACCTTTATGGTACTATTGAACATATTTGTACATTATATGCAATCATTGTTGATCTTTTCAAAATTTTTAATCTTACTTCATTGTCGTAAAAATGTAATATTTACAACAATAACCACATATATTTGCATCTTTGTCATTGAGCATTAAGAGTTGCAATCTCTATAATAATGACCAAATATGTATGGATATTATAAATTAATAGTCATACATAATTACTGTCACTAAATGATAATGAACACATGTGGAGGGGCGTCGTTACTGTTCTAGTTTTTTTTTATTATTATTACTATTTATTTTGGCTTTGCCGATAAGGTGTGGGGTTTGGTAATGAGAACTGACTTTATTTAAGGTTAATATGGTAATTTCATTAAAATGCTACTAAAGTGCTAGAATACAAGACTGCATCAAAGGCATAGAAACGAGTGCCACTCACAAGATTAGACATTGGAAACGCACCCCTAATCCAATAAGGAGGAGGACACCTCCCAAAAGTGGCTCTATAACATTTGGCCATCAAAAATCAACTCAAAGTGAGTCAGATCCTAGTCCTGTAATAGACCTCACACATATACACATACCTCATACCAACCGTTGGCTGAACGAGGAAACACTACAGACTGAGAGAGGTGGAGAAAGCACCCTCTAGCAGGAGAAACACACTGGGGGATGGGAAAACTATTTTCATTATTACACCAAAATAAATAACAAAATACAAAAAACTATACACAAATCTACAACTTACACAAAAGAGATCTGGTTGGAGATGGTGTGAACACCATGAGCAAGCAACTCCCCCAAGTCGATCCTTGAGTCTCCAATGTCCACAGCCGGTGAACACCCTCTGAAGATCATGCAAAACCACAAAGAAACTCATACCTTTATAGACCGGATATGACGAAACACCACCTCTTCTGATTATACGGAGCCCGATCATCTCGCTGCGGGATCAGAGATGAGATTTTTATGGCTAGAGATCCGGCAACACGCCCGACCTCCAGCCAAAGAGAAAAGGCCGGGAGAGAAACTTAGAGAGGAGTGATGAAAATTGATTTTGA